TTAGACAGGCCAAAGGTGTAGCAAGGGTCTTACTAAAACCCAAGCATTATGAAAAATAAGCCTTGGCCTTGTTTTATTTATCAGTCTTACGGCAGCTTTAGAAGCTACAGCAATAGTATATCTAGTATATCTAGCAATATACATTACATAACACTCCATGCCTTTTTCTCACCCCAGCCTCATGCTCTTCTTACTTGTTTTCTACACCAACCTGCTTTCCTTTATGAGCCAAATTCTTAATGGGAGCCTCTTTGCTATTTGTATCTTGTAACTAATTTATATGAAGACTAAAGGTCACTAGAAGCAAGAGAACAAGTTCAAGAACAAACATAACATGAGATTTAAACAACATTATATCCTAAATTATGACACTGAAAGCCTCTGTTCATTTGTTACCCAACTCTATTAAGCTTTACAATACTTCTTCTACCTGAGCTGTGAGTTCCCTGACACCAAAATTTGACATATGCCCTCTGAGTACCTCTTTCTCACCACTGCCAACTAGCATCCTGTTAACCTTGTGCCAAGATCTGAAATTGAGATATTCCCCTACTTAAGTCCATGGGAAGGATTCAGACAGTCAGTAGGTGCTGTCTGTACATGCTTAATATTTTTCTGCTAGGGTAGGAAGCAAGCTGGGCAGGGCAAGTCAAGGCCAACACCCCCACTTTGGCTACAGACAGACACAGCATGGCAGGGTGACTGCTGAGGAACCAACTTTACTATCTTGCCACAAAATTTCTCCCTCATTTCCCTCACACTCAGTCTTCTGATTCTGCCTTCACTGTGCCTCTCTGTTACTTCCAACAAAAGTCGGTATGCATCATCTGTAAATACCATTAAGTTGTAGAGGCTGAAACTACAGATATGTACTAAATTATTGTATAGTTTACTAAAGAAAAGCCTCATCCTGATAATTTGACTTTTATTTTGGGGTACTTCAACACCATTTCCTTAATATGTTTATGCTATATTAAATAGTATATCTAGCAATATACATTACATAACATACACACACTATGTAATATACATAATATATACTCTATATAAAAATGTAGCATAAATATTTACATATTATACAGTGACAATATTTATCTTTTCTGTAAACACAAATATATAAAATAATATATATTATAAAATTATACAGAATGTTTGAATATTGTGGATCTGGTTTAAGTGCCACTTACAGCAGGCAGGTAACAATTTCACAGTGCTGGCATGAGTTATCATACTGTACATCATCAGGGAAGTGTGAGAAGCCAAAGCTGAGTTTACTGTTTCACCTGATAAACTAAGCCCTGAAGCAAAAGATTCCCTCCCTGACTGATCTCCTGCCACAGGTTTAAGCTCATTCCCTGATGGCTGTCAGCTTGGAAGACGTCCTATAATTAACCTGCAGTATCACATGCAGCTGGTGAACATTTCACACAAGGTCATTTCTATGGAACGTGTGTGACACAGGTTGCTCCTAGGTGCTTCCTCGTAAAACATAAATATGCAATCCAGTCTTCTGCACAGAGCCCTCGGTAGTTAAGATGCAGCTGTATAAAACTCTCCATCTACACTTTGCTGTGGGCTGCCTGAAAGAGCTATCCATCTTTCTTCTCTGCCCCCTACAGTTTCACACAGCCTACCTTGCACAGGATCTTATCTGACTGAAAGTTAATTCTGTAAAAATAGAAAAAGCCAGATAACCAAGCATTTCCTTCAGTTTGATGATTGTTGTTTTGTTTTTGGTTTTTCTTAATAAAGAAATCTGCATTTATGGATGAATAACAACATAATGAAATTGCATCTTTGTTCACACTCATTGCTATAATTACTTAACAAAAACATGTGTGGTGTCCTAAAGTTCAGTTATCCTTATTTTTACAGCATTAGTACTGATGGTCCCAAGCAGCCCATGATTACATGCTGCAGAACATCCAAGCACAGGAAACACCCTCCCCACACCTCCATCTCCTCTTTACTTCCCAAACAAGGGATTGAGAAACAAAGGCATAGGAAAAATAAATCACACAGTAAGGAAGTGACAGTGTCAGAAATGGCCTCTGTGCCTTCCCTGTCTGATGTCAGTACAGCATATGATAAGTTAGAACAAGCAATAGCAAGAGGCAGATGAGGACACAGTTCCTGGAGGTGGGAAATCCTCAGCATCTCAGTCATACTAGTGGAGGAAGCCATGGAGCCAAGTTGGAGTTGCAAGGGAAGAGTGGAGACCAGGAAGGGGAGAACATAAGGACAGAATAACCAGTTTTCTAATTATATAGATGTAGAATAAAATTGCAAGCACAACTTATAAACTTACAAGTCAAATTAGGTAGGTGCCCAATCACCTTATTTGCATTCCATGTTAGCGTGATCATAACTACTTGCTTACATTTGCACATTTCCCAAATATATATTTAAAGATGCAATCTTCAGCACATGTCCTAGTCTAAACAGGAAAAGCTCAGGCTGACAAAGCAGTCAAAACTTTGAAATTATATGGGTTCATCTCTTCATCAGTAAAAATAATTTTCCTAATGTCCAATGATGACTGCACATTTCTGAGAAATACATGCTAGAAAAAGTTATACCCTGAAAAGAGCAAGCATGTGGAGACTGACAACGGACGTGTACTTGCTAGCAGACATTTTGTTTTGAATTTCTGTAGACCTTTAAGGTTATGCTGAAAAAACACAAACTCTCAATTCAAGTAAAATCAGGGTTATAAAGCTTTTCTTCATAACTTGTCTATGTGATCAGCTATTCAGAGGAAAATAAATCAGAATCTGTTGTGATACTGCCATACAGAACCTGAAAGAACTGTCACAGAAGATATCAAACAATCTACCCCACTGTGGCTGTGTTAATTGTAAAGACTCGGAGCCTTTAGGCTTGAATCCTATAAAGAACAAAACCAGTCTTAAGGCACTCCGTAAAAATGCTGGAGATCCCGTGCAGAATTACTGAACTATGGTAAATTCAGAATCCTGGTTTCGAAAAACTCGCCTCGCTTGACCATCTTCGTGTGAAGGCGGTAAGTCCGTGTCTGTAAGAAGCCGCAGGGTGGCGGTGCTGTCGCACGCCGCTGTGCAGCCAGCCTCTTAACAGAGAAGCAAAACCGGCTTTAACCATACTGCCACTAATGTACTCGCAGCTCATTTGAAGTGAGAACTTGGAATAATTGTTCTTGACAAGTGAACCTAGTAATGCATTTCAAGGATTAAGCTGAATCTAGCGGAGAAAAATATGCCATCTCTGAAGACTTCAAAATTTAAATTTCATAACTGTTCTCTCTATCCTAATTAAAGCCATTCTGCTACCACATCACACAAGGAAAATACATAATTACAGATCCTCAGTTACAGGAAATTGTCAATACAGTGAATATCCTGCAATACATCCATATAAATATACATATATATACTTTTCATATAAAGACCAGTGTGTCTTTCTAAACCTAAAGTCTACTTGACAACTTTATTTCATTCTTCAGTCTGAGTGGTGAGTCCTTAATGGGCCACACTGCAGGCACTCATTTGTTTCTGGGCTTCCATGTGAAGCACAACAGCTTTTCCAAAAGAAAATATAAATGTAGCTTGAAAGGTAGTTCATCACAGGCTCTACTTCCTACAGACCACATAGGTGGGACAGTGTCAGATTTGGAGGACTGTCCTGGACAGAAAGAACCAGTGCCATCCCAGGCACCCCCACTGTGTCTGCATGTCCCCTTCTGTCTCCCCTCTAAGCATGCTTAGAGGTTCATTTTGCAAAGATAAAACAATCTGTATATTTAAAGAGTGCAAAGCAGCCTTCTTAAGTCTTTTTAACATTAAAACTGCAAAAAAAAAAGAACTGAGGGCACACAGTCCTCACGGGACTTGGGCATATTTGAGACTTCTCTGTCAGTAGCTCCTACCTTTGTTTCACTTGGGGTGAGTAGTCTGATCACACACCAAGGTCCCACAGTTTACTGCTGTGGGCTATCACTTCAGTATCAAACAACATTGCTTTAAATTAAAAAATAATGAAAATAAAAAAAACATTTGCAAAACAAGAGGCAGCGACCAGTCTTGCTACAGTGCAACACGCACATATGCAGCAGCAATACTGGCAGCATGCTGTTGTTCTGAGTCCTAAGTAATGACGGACCAATGCTGGGTTCAGTCATGGAGTGCCTGTGCAGCAGTCAAGGCAGTGAGCAGGGGGCCTGTAGAAACCTCAAGAGGTGCAAAGGCAAGTGCCCTCCCAGGAGCACCTGGTACGTGGTATATTCACAACGCCTGATGAGCAAACTGCATCACATCCCCAGCGGGTCCGTCGGCACAGGCGCTGCCTTGGATAACGTGGTCGTGATGAAGCCTGTTAACAGTCCGACAAGTTTTAGGACAAGAGGCAACGGGCAGAAACTGATGCACAGCGAGTTCCACCTGAACATGAGAAAGAACTTCTTTATTGTGCGGGTGACCAAGCACTGGAACGGAGTGCCCAGCTGGAGACGTTGTGGAGTCTCCCTCACCGGAGGTATTCAAGAACCGTCTGGACGCGATCTTATGCCATGTGCTGTGGGATGACCCTGCCTGAGCAAGGAGGTTGGGCCAGATGCCCTTCTGCGGTCCCTTGCAGCCCGCCCGGCTCTGTGCTCCGTGCCGGGCCGCGCACCGGGGGCCGTGCCGGGCTGTGCGGCGGCCCCGTGGGTGGCGGCGGAAGCGCGGCCCCCGCCCTGCCCGCTCCCCTCCCTCCCGCCGCCGTGACTTCCGGCGGCCGCTCTAGCCGCGCCGCGTCTATGCCCGCGGCGCCGGGGGATGTTTATTGTCCCGGGGAGTCGGCCCAGCACCCGCGACGCCGCCGGGCGACCGGCACCCACCGACCGGCACCGCGCCCCGTCCCGCCCCGTCCTGCCCTGCCCCGACCGCCGCCCGCCCGCACGGTAACGGCCGCCGACGGGCCGCGCTCCTCCTCCTCGTCCTCCTCCGCCTCCTTGCTGCCGCCTCGGGTCCGCGGGCCCGGCCCGCCGGCACCCGCCGCCACCGCTGGGCCCCCGCGTCCCGCCCCTGCCCGACCGAGGGGAGGGGGGCGGCGCAGGGCCTCCCCCGCCTCGCCGAGGCCCTGCCGGCGCCTCCCGCCGCGGTACCGATCGCGCCCGGGGTGGGGGGGTGTGCGCGGCTCGGCCGCCGTGCCGAGGAGGGAAGGAAAGGGAAGGGGCAGGGAGTCCCCGCGGGGAGCGGCCCGTTCCCTGCTGCCCAGGGGCACCGGCGGCCCCGCGCCCAGCCCCGGGGGTGGTGTGGCGGCCCGGGCCCCGCGGGCGCGGCGGCGGCGGCGCTGCCCCGGGGCAGGAGCGCCCGCAGCAGCCGGCGTGGCCAGGCCGTCCCTCCGCCCGCGCTTTGTTCGCGCCGTGCCGGCCCGAGAAGTTTGGGTCCGGGGTGGAAGGGGGAGAAGGAATAGTTGTTAACTGGAGCGTTGTGGCGCTGGTGCATGTAAGGCTTTGAGTGAGGCTCCCCAGCAGCGTGAATAGGAAGGGTGCTTGTGTTTCCTCAGTTGAGACGCGCAAATGGGAAATGGGAGGGGGGGTGAGAGGCTTACGCGTCGTCTTCAAATATTTTGCTACAGCTAAACACTTTTACTTTCCGTACGGTTTTTCATCAAGTTGGAATGGCCACGGAACCTATTGGTTCAGACTTTTGTCGTACTTAGGATGATTTTCCATATAGTATAAAGACTGTAAGGATTCTTTTTAATTTTTGTCATTCAGGTATTACTGGACGTTCGAATGGAAAGATGGCACAAACTTGGGTTCAAGTGAACCTTGCTTTGAATATGAATGGGCCTTTTTGATGAAAGAAAGACTTGAGGAAAATGGCCTGTTATGAGTTACTTTAAAATGTACTTTGTTGCCTTGCTCTGTAAACTGGCTTTATTCTTACAGTTGGATTCTTTGTTGGAAGATCCTAGGTCCATGGAGATTTAGTAGGCTTATCCAAGAGATTTGGCAGCAGGGTTGAGGTCCTACTTGCTTGTGATATAGCTGATATCTTCATTCTACACACTGATCTAATGGAACACATCCTTACTTTAACACTGGCTTTGCTCATATTTGAATATTTTCTCCCTCCCCAAATATAATTGTCTCTTTCTGTAGGAAATAGTCATGACTCTGCAAATCCTGAAAGGTGAGAATAGTAGCTTCAAGATGGCCTTTTGCTTTAGGCACGATTTAATTTGCCGCTGCAGCAGAAAGTACAAGCATGCCCCACTAGCTCAGTGGCTGTAACTAAGAAAGTTGTTTGGACAGAAGGATTTTCTGTACAGACAGTAGCAGCTATGATGCTCTCAGTTCCAGGAAGACACTCACCTGCTACTGTGACCATACTGTGTTTAAGAATTCAGGCAGATTTCAGAGGTCTGTCACCTCTGGTGTTTCCTGTGAACCTGTTTCCCGAGGGGCTGGACGCAGCTCTTTAAAATTACACCTTCGGTGGGCGGATATAATTGACGCTCCCTATTCCTGACAGGCTTTATTTTTTGTGCTCTCCATTCTCATATGGAAGCATTGTAAGTTCATTTTAACTTCTTCAAAGATGCTTTTCAGGCGTTAGCTTGAAAAACGCCTACTGATACAGCAATGACCGATATCCCTTCAGCTGGTCTGTTGGAATTGTTTGTGGAGTTGGTCAGTTGGTGAACTGCTTTGGAGCAAAGTTAAAAATAACCAGTAGAAATTGCTTATACTTAGACTTCTGGTGAAAAAAGTGTTTATTAAACTGTTCTGGCATTAATGTAACCATTATTAGACATCCCCCATCTACCTTTATAGCGTGGAGTTTCTTGGATCAAAGGTACTCAAAAGCTTAAAATAATACTTTGTTTATATACCCCATCCCAAGTGCCTTTCCTTTCTCTTTGATGATGGTGCTGTGGTTCATTTGGAACTTTCTGAAGACAGAGAGTGCTGGCTTTTTTTAGATTGTAAGATTTCAGTGCAGGGTGTTTTGTCTTCATGTGTGTTTATAGAATATCTAAAATAGTATGGCCGTGTTTCTAACAAGGGAAGTAAGGGTAGTGCTTTAAGAACTTCAGTTTTCATTCCTTCCTGCAAAGTATTTCTCATTCTGGGAAGTTTCTCTGGCTTCTGTATAGCTTTTGTGGTTTTTATTTTTAAGTTCGTTATCATGCTTAACCTATCTATATTTTTTTTCTTCTCCCTTTTTTTCCTCCTAGGGTAGTATTCCTAAAATCTACATTGAAAAGAAAGAACAGTCTTTTTAAATTTTCCTGATAAAACAAAATAATACAAACTTCTGCGGAGATGTATTTAAGTTTTTCTTCTCTGTCGTGGTAGATTGTGTTATGCTGGTGCAAGACAACTTGAAATCAAAGTTGGCTAGTTTCTTGTGCTGGAGAAAATTGAATGAAGTACATAATTTAAAAGAAATGCTGTACATACAGACAAATCTTATGTTCAAACTTAACCTATTATTAAATTACCATTAACTAGCAAAACATTTTAGAAATGAGATTTAGGCTGCCAAAATTCTATAGTTCAGATGAGAAAACCTTTGGGCAAAATTAATGAATGAAACCTAAGCAGAGCTCAATAAAATCAACTTAAGCATTTGAAAATCCAGAACTGGAAAGAACCAAGTGTTTGGTTTCTGCTCAGCCTCTCTGTTCTACAAGTGTAACTTCTTCAGTGTAGAATAGAAACAGGCTTATATGCAAGGAGCAATATTTTCGCCATTTTGCAGATAAGATGCAGAAATGCAAAAATTCAGGTTTTGGGAAATAACAGAGTCAAGCTAGTGTGTATGAATAGCAGAGAATACAAGAGAAAACTGGGAAAGAGGAGGATCAGAATATTGTTTCAAATTCCTTTGTTCTATCTGGTTGTGCTGTTGGAGGCACATATAATTAAGAACAACATCTTTCTTTCTTTCTTAAACATTGTTACACATTTTTGGTAGGATTTTTTTTTAAACGTAGTCTATGTATATTTACTTTTTTAAAACATTTAACTTGCTTTTGTTCTTATGGTTCCTATGAATTTTAATTTCTTTGAGGCTTACTAAGGAAAGGTAGCAGGACATTTTCTCTCTATATATTTTTTTCTTTGTTGTAAGTGTGAGATATGAAAATGTCAAAGACTGTGATAGGTTATGCTTGCTCACTGCTTGGACACAAATATCCAAGCCTAGAAATATTTTGGTTTACCCAATGATTCTAAACTGTGCCTCGGAAGAGGTTAACATTGCATTTGTATACTAAATAAGAGTGGATGTGTTCAAAATCATTGACACTTAGATTCACGTTCTCAAAGAACATAGGTAGCATTTAACAGCAGCAAATAGGGAGTTTTCTCCATACAAATTAGAAAAACTTGGTAATTAACATTTTCGGTATTCAGCATTTGAGTGAAAAGTTTTAACAGTTAAATGCTGCTGTTAGATCACGTAGCCATTTTCATTTTTGCACTGTATTGAGATACTGGTTTTATGACAAGTCATGCCCCTTTTTAACTGAATGTCGCAAAACATAGTATAGAATATTAGCAACAGGTCTAATAAAATTTCAAATTAAAAAGGTCCTCCCTAAATATCTGTTATCTTGTGCTTTCAGAACATGTCTAATGAAAATGGGGGCACATCACTGTAATCTGTGTAATTTTTCTCCCATTAAAATCTATGCAAGGAGATTGTACTTCTAACCAAGATATACATTGTAATTGCTGAAAATGGCTCCACAGCCACCTCTTCTCCTGTAGAACCCCTTTTAATAACAGAACTTTTCCTTTTAAATTTCAGTTTTCCTCTCTTTTCAACCACTTTTTCCTTTGTTCTGAACAAGCACGTGACTGTTCTCCCTGAGTCTTTTTAAGATCAGGGGTTTTATGGGGATGTTATCATATAATACATCTTAGATGTTAGCTTAGATAATACAGCTTAGATGTTAGCAACCTTTCAAGGGTGTTATGCATGATGGTGATATTCTTTTAGAACATAGAGATTGAGTGTGCCAGTAGACACTTGCTGATAATTTGGAGATGCTGCTGATTGGAGGTATCTTGTTGACAATCTTTCTTGAGTTCCAGTAAATGAACTCTGCAAGAGCCAGGAGTTGGAGCCAGGGTGGAAAACAAATGCCTCTCTGAAGATGCCATGGGTTCCAGCTTCGTGCTGGCTCTGCCTGCATGCCGTTCAAAATCTGCACATATGCTGTCTTTGGATCTGGTGCCATAAACTACTTGCCCAATCTGTAGTAGTCCATCAAAAGCAGACGGAATAAGTAATTTCTGATTTTGAGGATTCATATAATTTTTGGTTCAATTAAAAAAGGATCTGGGAATACTAGTTAGTTACTGTTCATTCTCTTGTTTACCTGCATTCTCTTCACCCCCACACAGAGCCTTTGGTTTTTCTGTTTTTCTCTTGCTGTTTCTTCATCTCTTTTCTGTATTAGCACCCACCTTGCTTTTTCTTATATTGCACTAGCCAGCAGTTACAGAATAATTCTTTCAGCAGGGAACAAGCTGCAGAGGAGAAGTAGCAACTACCACAGCCGTTAACCTAGTACATTATGCACATCTGCCCTGTGGTCTGTCACGTCAGTATTGTCAGTGAGCGGTAGTCAAAGATGCACCTTAAGTGAGTTCTCAGAGACTACGGCTTGATGTTTTCGAACTTGTAGTCAGATGCAAATACTGATTATAACATTAATTTTGTATCTTGAAGATTTCTTATATAGAATGTAAGGCTGAAAATTTTAGAGTTATATAAATGCATTACAATCTGTTACCTATATTATTTTTCTTAATGCATAGTCTCCTGCTTCTTCCATGGCAAAGACCATGTAGAGCATTTCATATATATGTGACAATTTTTCTTTGATTTTGTTCTTTCCATTTTGTTAATTTTGGATGAAATAATGCTAAAATGTTTATATAAGTTGTTTTCTCTGGATACCAGTGTTCCTGTACTTTTCACCTCTCCTTTCCCCACGTTCTTCACCTGAGATTTATTTGAGATGTCTACTATCTTGTCATTGGTGTGCCTGCAGAAGAGATGTTGGGCATTCTTGGGCTGGAATGAGTGGTTGCCCAACTCCTGGTCTTATGGTTCTCTTTCCCTGGTTGAGGTGTATGTGAGGAATGTCACATGCAATGTGCAAGGGCAGCCTGGATGCTTCTGGGCTGCCTCCTGGCTGCCTTAGGTTTTCTGTGCATACACTGTCTGGCCATCCTGTGCCTTCAGTTACTGCTCAGAAACACTTGTGCCTTATCTCAGAAACACTCGATTTTACTCTGCCCCTACAATGTGTTCATTCTGTGCGGTTCCAGTGGGCAGTGCCAAAGGGAGGGAGAGGACACTGGCTCACCCCAGACTGCTGCCACCAGGACAATTTGTATAGTTCGCATTATACTATTATTATTGGGAGAGAGAGGCCAAGAGTGCTGGATTAAGATGGCAAAGCTGTGGTAGCAGGCTGTCTACTGACTGCAATTTGTGTAACCTGTGTTAGTTCAAAGTTATTCACAGGCTCATCCATTCCAACACAAGCATCAAGCTGTTCAGAATTATCAACTCCAGCAGTCAGAGAAGTGCATTTTCCTGAGGTGTCTAATGACATCCTCAGATGAGCTGAGGAAACGTTATCCACTGGTGCTATGGAAGAAGTTTCAGTAATCTTTACAGTGTTAGTAAAAATTGTAACATATTTAACTGGCAAGTTTAAATACACTTTTATATAAATGTGTACACAATTTCTGTTAAGTCTGGCAATACGGCTTTGAACAAGTTAGCTCCTATTTTCTAGCATACAGGATGCAGACACCCCCTCCCCACACACAGTCAAATGAGTCAGAGTGTAGTCACTTCTGCCTCTTGTCTCTTTTAAGGGGTGAATGTATACAGTGACATTAATAGGCAGTTTTCTACTCATATGTTTAATTTTATCATTTTTGCTTCTCAGGATGTGATCTTCGTGGTGAGCTGGTGGGAAAACTGAGTTGTAAATCACCCCAATGGATGCAGACAGTGATGTTGCACTGGACATTTTAATCACAAACGTAGTGTGTGTTTTTAGAACAAGATGTCATTTAAACTTGAGGAAGATCGCGTTAGAGGGAGCAAATGTGATATACAAGCGTGATGTTGGGGTAAGAGAGTCAACATACTTCAATTATCTGTTTTTAGAAATATTTCTTAAGCTAAACAATCTTCTCTCTGATGACTGTCTATGGTGAGTAGAGAAAAAGCAGAGTTTTAGTTCTGTATTTCTGTCTTGATCAGTATTTAGTCAGTCATACACTAAATGTACAGTAAGGGGAGTTAGTAAATGCTGTGTCAGGAGACTTCAACTAGTTAGGTGAATACTGGGTATAAGGTATGTGATGAGATCTCTTACACCTCAGGTTCTGTTTTGCCTCATAAAATTTGACAGCTATGTCGAGAAAACATATTTAGATAAGGAGTCAAAATGTTAAGTCACTGTAATAAGAAAAAAAATCCACACACTGTTCATGGCTTTCAGCGAAAAATACCTTTATTTAATCTGTTTTGTGAACACTGAAACATAGCCTGACATATTTCATGCTTATTTTGCTCCACTCAGGAGCTGGGATTTTTTAAATCACTGAAAGACATGAAGGAGCAGTTCAAACCTATTAAAAATAAAGGAAGTTTTAGAGTACCAGTTGATTTGTCTAACAAATTTGTGTAATTCTTTTTTTCCAGTATGAAATTGAACTACTGCTGACTTCCAATTTTTCCACTTTTCTTTTTAGAAGGTTTTAATGAAGCTTCGGAAACCTAGGATTACGGCCACAATTTGGTCCTCAGGAAAAGTTATTTGCACAGGAGCCACAAGGTGAGTTCATGAAGAATCTTTCTCTAGCTGTAAATTCTTGTGTATATTAAAATACAGTGTTATAAATGAAGAAGAGGTGGTACTTGCCACTGTTTAGATTTGCTCATACTGGTTCACATGTAGATCCTTGCTAAACTACATATTTGGGAGGAAGTTTTCTATGTGAAGTGTCTATTTCAGACTGTGTTCACATCATGAGCAATTTCAGTTCAGCCTTCTTGGCTGAGCAGCAGGGGAAACTGCTTTATGAAGAAAATCCTAAAGAGGCTTGAAAAGTCTTGTAAGATTCTTAAACACGCTCAAGTGTGTTTAGCCAGAACTTGAGACTTGGAAAGGGATGACCTTCCTTGAGGGATATCTTTTATTCTTTCACAAAAACACACTTGAATTTAACCAGTGTTGAGAGACTGGAAAGAAGCAAAAGCAGACTCAGTTTAGCTACATCTGAGACTTGCTAAACTCTAAACAGCTGAATTCCTTTAAGATATGTTCTGCATTGTGAAGTAAGGCTAAGGTACAATAATAAATTTGCTTATTTTTTGTATATGATCTCTGTTTCAAAATGGAAGATGATTGTATGTTAATTCCAGACTATGTGATCTTATTTGTATCTTAAGAGCACTTAAAATCATGTATGATCAAAACATCTCTCCCTTCAGCTGGAGCCAAGTGCCAAGATATTCTTCAAACAGGGCATAAAGGACTTCATTTGAATGTCTAGGTAGTTAAAATGTAATACATACAGTGGAATAAAGTGAAGGCTGTCCATGTGATCGTGGTCGATGTGGTGCATTGTGTATCAGTTCATTATGTAGTCTGAGTAGCTATTGTGGTATGTGTGCACACAAATATATACTATTTCTCTTAATGCAAAGTTCTTTTCTTTCTGCTTTATAGTGAAGAAGAAGCTAAATTTGGTGCCAGACGATTAGCTCGTAGTCTACAGAAATTAGGTTTTCAGGTAATTCTAATGAAAAAGGATTTACATGACTCAAGTAATGCTGGTAATTCATGTTTTGGAAAGAAACAAAAATGAGGGGAGCACAACAATTTAGCAGTGAGCATGTTTTCACTCAGATGCCCCTTTTGTGTTGGCATACATTTTCCAGATGCTGTTTTATTTTGTGGATTTGAGTTTTGTTTGGCAGCTCACAGTAGTGCTTCTTCACTGGATAATGAACGACAAAATATGTTTAATAAATGAACCACCTACAGATATTTCTTGGGTAGAATTTACAATATCTTGAAATATTTATTTGGAAAAAGTGCCGAAGACTATAAACTTTACTGTCATTTAACATCATTTTCACTCATTTCTGATGGAATGGCAGATGCATTTCCATCCTCAGAAAGGCAAGCCTTTTTAATTAAAGCCTCTTTAATTAAAAAGGGAGGAGAAAAGGTCCTTCTGTGCTGTCAGGTTGCACAGCAGGAAATAAGCCAAATAAAATAGTTAAGTCAGGAAACCCCTCTTTTTTCTGGGTTTGGGTTAACATTACCAGCCAAAAATATCACTTTCATTTCTTAGCAAGGGTTGAAAAACAGCCACATGAACAACTTAAAATGACATGGTTTAGTACCCTAAAACTTCCTCATAGTCTGTTGTACTGTTTACTCACAGATTCAGTTAGGGGCAGACAACTAAATAAACGCAGTAGCTGTCCTTTTCAGGGAGAGACTCCTTTTGATTGTAGTACATAAAGGCAGAGGTGACAGGCTGTCTTGGTGGCACTGCATCAGACCCCAGCATGAGTTTGACACTTACTGTCACAAATTCTTAAAGTTGAAATGGAACAGTAAGTCAGTGAGGTGAACAATGTTTCCAGGATAGACACACCAAGTTTTATAATAAAGCAAGCAGTTTATATTTTGAAGATTAATTTGATAGCTAACCTTTTATAAGGGCTAAGTTGCTTCTACCGGTAATGTCTTTCTAAAAAGTTTAGACTGAAGAATGGTCCTTTTAAGTTTAGGCAATCTCAGAAAGTGAGCAAAAGTTTCCCTAGTGATACTGCCAACACTGACTTCTCAGCAGTGCATTTTTTTTGTATGGGAGTTGTCTGTTGGCTATTTTATTGTCATCTAAAATTTCTGTGGTAAAGAGTAACTGAAAGCAAATCCAGTGAGTGGATTTCAGAAAGTTACAGAGTAGAAAACCAGTTTGCTGTACTGGCCACTGGACATTTAGAGCAAAATTTTCACCTTTTTTCTTATTCTTAGCTTTAATAAAAATGATGTATAGCAACAAGGTATTAAAGAAGCTTTCAGTGAAATTTAAACTTTTTCTCTGCTTATTTTGGTGTTCCATGAGCTATTTTAATTTACTTCCTTTTCAGTGTGGAGGTGTTTAGTGCAGCAGTATAAGCTGGTTTTTTTTGCCTCATTCTTAAACCATACTATAACCCTGTGATACAACTGTGAGGTATCTAGTTCAACAGATACTCCACCATACAGGGATAATGTAAATTATTTAAGTCCATTAAGTACTGCTTAGATGACTATTAGAAATGAATCAGTCACAAGGTTTTAATTTTGAAATCTCATCAATGTATTCTAAGTAGCATATTTCTCTCTCTTTTTTTTTTTTTTTTGCAACCCATACATCTACCTCGCTGTAAACTAAATTTCTTATGTCTTTTTTTCCTCTCTTCCAAAAAGGTAATTTTCACAGATTTTAAAGTTGTGAATGTTTTAGCAGTGTGCAACATGCCCTTTGAGATCAGATTGCCGGAATTTACGAAGAATAACAGACCTCATGCGAGGTATGATAGGATTTTAAAAAATTTTAGTCTTGATATGTTTCTTAAGCTTTTATTTTTCAGTTCTAGATCTCTCTTTTTTACCTTTTATTTTGTTTTCTAGTTATGAACCAGAACTTCATCCTGCCGTGTGTTACAGAATAAAATCTCTCAGAGCTACCTTACAGATTTTTTCCACAGGCAGTATCACAGTTACAGGTATTTTGATGTCAAAAAATAAATATTTAACTTGTTGGGAATATTTAACTTTAGAGCCAGTAGGCTTAGGAAAGAAAGATGTTTAAAAGTCAGAAGATAATGTTGAAAGGATTTTGCTTCCCAGTGCTAGCACCTAGTTTGGTTTTGGTGAAAGTGCCAGAAAGTTATAGAGAAAGTGTTATTATTGGTAGGCTCAGACAGTTACTGTTTTCTTTTTTTTCTTTTTTAAACAAAAGTGAAATAGGATTTGAGAATGCAGGTATTTATTGTGTATTTGAATATTTGAATTTTCTTTCTTTTTTTGATCTTTGTAGTGCTTTAAACTACACTGCAGGTAGCATTAACAATCCTTAAATAAATACCTGTTACCAAAGTGGACATTTGTGGAGACTTATAGGAGGGCATAGCATTTTTTCATAAATTAAGTTGACCAGTACCTGCAGTTCTTCAGACTTGTGTTCTCTTCTATTAAAGCTCAAGTGAGGGAACCACCAGTGAATCAGAGGCATCAGTGATTTTTGCCTTGTAATCAGAGATGTGATAGTCCTGGGTCTTGAAAACACCATGCCATGTTTTTTCCTCTCTCTTCCTAGAAATTTTCATTTTTCATTCTCCTTTGTGTTTGCTTATGGGGTTTCCAGATGCACGTAGTCAGGGTTTTCAGAAAGTACATGTTAAAATAGTACAAAACAAAACCAAAAAAACCAACATTTTGTCTCACTTTATTGGGGATTATGCGTTGCAGTTGTTAGAGCTCAGCTACTGGTTCAGAAGTTGGGTAAGGAATTTTTAATATTTTCACATCTTAATTCCTTAACAAATGTCTAGGTTTAGGGGGATTTTTTTACAAGATATTGGAAGAAGTTTTTTTAAGAAGACAAACTTGATCAGATTTAGTAATCTGAATATAAAGGGGCTAAAAAGTATTTCAAGGTTGCAGTATATGTTCTGAATAGAGCAACTGGTCTAGGCAAATCTAGGCACTAAATTTAAAACAGATAAGATGCCTTAGTATTACTGCAATAATAAAAAGCTGTCAGCATGTCTTGTCAGCCTCTTAATGAGATTCAGTTTCTCTGTAAGATTCTTATTACAGGACAAAATCACTTTCGTATTTTCAGAATTGTCCTTTCAAAACATGAAGGTAAATACGATAAACATCCGAGTTTTGGATCTTTCTGGCTTAGTTGTTTTAGTGAGTTTGAAATATCCCAGACCTCTTTCACTTTTGAAGGTTTCTGTTTTGCCTAGGCCTACCTCCTAGGGGAAGAAAATGCCCAGAGTCTTATGGATTCATGTTTCTGTAGTACTAGTACTTGTCATACCACTGACTCAAAGAATTTCGAGATATGTAATTGGAAATGTTAAAAAAAAACCCGGGAAGGTGGGTTCTTTTAATGGGAGAAGTATCAAAAGATTTGATTACACTGAGAAAAGATAATAAAAGTCACTGGCATCTGAAAGAATACTTACTTTACTGATGCTCCAGAATGAGCAATGGGGAGGCTTCAACCTTACGTAGAGTAGCAGTTTTTTTACTAGAACTATTTGCCTACTCATACTTTCACTGTTTGAAGGCTTTCTCTAGAACTTTCATTTCTATAATTGCAACCAAATTTAAGGAGGGTGCAGTATCTGCCCAAAAGACAGGTATCTTTCACTGTTCTTGTTTTAACTAAGTGCTTAACTTGACCAGTTTGAAGGTCAAGAAGAATCCTATTCTAGTCCGTTTTCTTTCTGACTGAGCATGGGAAACAATAATTACTTAAATAATTTATACTGGAGTTACTAATTTTGGGAGCCATTTTGAACAGTTCTCTATACTTGGAAAAAACTTCTGAAGTCTAAAGTAGGGTTAAGAAAACTCTGAGTTCACAGTCATAAAAGTATGTGAAAAATTGCTGTTCTCCTTTATCTGAATCACCAAGCTTCTATCCAGAATTAACATCTTCTGCCATGTCACTGCTCATTTATTTGCAATCCTAATTTTTCATTGTTTAAAACAGAGTACCATTAAAAAGCATCACTAGTTTATTCTTCCTCTTCTTTCACCAAACACTCATAGATTATGTTAGATAACCTTCATATGCTTTGTCCTGAGACAGTAAAACCATTTCCTGGCTTGCAAGTTTTGTCCTGAGATCAGCGATGAAGCTATTTGCAAAACCCGGGACAGAAAAAGTCTATAATTTTCGGAAATAACATAACATTGCTTGAAACATACTTGGGTTAATTCTAGCATTATTTAGCAGTAGTTTTTGTTGGTAGGTTTTTGAAAAGAGCTAAAAGTGGCTAGCCTTTGAGAAATACAAATTCCCAGAAGATTGGCATAAGTAAAATTATTTCTTTTACCTCTGCCACTCAGCATCTGCTTCTTCTCTAGACAGTTTAAACCAGTAAATCTAAAACCACCCAAGTTGTTGTGAAATTAAATGACTGTATTATTTATTTGTAGTCTAGCCATTGACCAGTGTAGAACATCTTGCAGATTTCATGTGAAAGTCTTTTACTTAAAAGTGATAAGTCTTTTACTTAAAAGTGATAAACACCTTCTTAAGTTTTAAGAGAAATGGGGGGAAAATTACTGTCTACAGTGTAAAGCTGTGATAGCTAAAAATATGAAGGTTATTTTAAAGATACTGTTGTTGTTTTAATTTCTGCTTGCCTAATTTTTCTCTTCCTACTGCCTTTTTTTTTTTTTTTTTTTTTAAACTATGTCTCAGGGCCAAACGTAAAGGCTGTTGCCAGTGCTGTGGAACAGATTTACCCATTCGTGTTTGAAAGCAGGAAATAAATTTTATAACTCACCACTTGATGGTTAGGTTCCCTAACCGAGCACCTTTAAAGACTGCTGCACATTGGACTAAAAGCAAAAAGGAAAACTGGACCAACCATAGCAGAGGAATACGGACTCTTTTACTTGCTCATGGCCACAGTATAGACTCCAGTTCTTTTGGATTTTACTCTTAACAGTGCTGTATTGTAAAAACGGAAGTTTACAAGATATGAAATTGCTGCTTTTAAAAAGACGTTCTATTTATTTTTGCAGTAATTTCAGTGTATTCATAAGCAAAGCTGTCACGATGTGCACTACCTTTAAGACTTTTTTTTTTTTAGCTTGAGCTTGTGTTTTGTTTGTGAATAGTCTTTTACATTTTTGTATGCTGAATATTGGGCACCAAAGAAGCTGTAAAAGTTACCTTTTTCACCTGATGAATGTGCACAAATAAAAGTTTGGAAAATATTTCTCTTCATACCTGTTCTGTTATATTCCTTCCCTTTTTCTATTACAGTTAAAATTGTATAGTTGCAAATTAATTTGAAGAAATGTAAGAATAGTCTTTTGCTGATACCTTCTGTTTCTATTTGTAGTATGTGTAAAACTTTGTGTGTGGGTTAGATTGAAATCTATAGTAGTTGTGTATGTTTATCCAAGGATGAAATTTGGTTTGTTCACAGTTCCCTTAACTACATGCCAGACTTCAAGTATTTTCTTGTTGTTACATGAAGAGAAGACATTTCTAAATGTAAAGGTCCTTCAGCAAGTGTTTTCCTATAGATGAATCATAGATTATGCTGAGTTGGGAGGGACCCATCAGGATCATCGAGTCCAACTCCTGGCCCTGCACAGGACGCTCCAAGAATCACACCACGTGCCTGAGAGCATTGTCCAAATGCTTCTTGAACTCTGTCAGGCTTGGTGCTGTGACCACTTTCCTGGGGAGCCTGTTCCAGAGCCCAACCACCCTCTGGGTGAACCTTTACCTCCCCTGACTCAGCTTCATGCCGTTTCCTCGAGTCCTGGCACTGGTCATGGGAGTGAAGAGATCTGTACTTGTCCCTCTGCTTCCCCTTGTGAGGATGCTGAAGACCACAATGAGGTCTCCCCTCAGTCTCTTCCAGGCTGAACAACCCAAGTGACCTCAGCTGCTCCTCATAAGGCTTCCCCTCCAGACCCTTCACCATCATCATGACCCTCCTTTGGACGCTCTCTGATAGCTTAATTACCTTTTCAACTTAAGCTACTGTAGAAAAAACAACTGCCTTTTCCACCTACTCGATGCAAAAGGAAAAAACTTAAGATGTGAGCTTTGGGTTTCAGGAAAGTGTTGTGCTTCAGCTGGAGATGATGATACAGTCATGCTAATCCAGCCCCAGCTTGTTGCTGAACAATTAACACAGACCTTTTCTACACTGTTCTTACTGTATAATATTTTGATGACAGGAGCTGCCAACAAGCAATGAAGCTTGATTTTGGCATGTATTATTAGTGGTATTAATCTTGGACTTGGAAGCCAGTAAATGTTTCTCTCAATAAGTGCACATTTGAAGCAGAAGAGAGGTGAATGCTTAAAAGTAACTGCAAATGCTACTTTTAAAAAGCTACAATAAATATGTATAAATGTATGTATGTCTTTTTTCCCTATCTCACTGAAGTGAAACATAACACGACTCATGCGCCTGCAGGTAATGTACAGTCTTAGTGGGCACTGAAAATAGTAAAATGAGCTGTTACTGTACCAGAAATCACAGCTGTGAAAGAAAGGTGCAGGAACATCCAGTGGAAGAAAATGCCTGGCATGATGTCTTTAATCTGCCTGAGGGGGTGGTATAGAAGTTGGGGCTGTCCACAGTGACTTTGTGCAGAAATTGTGCAAAGGATGGGAGGTGCTTCACCAAATCCTTCTGGACAAAAAGAAAGGAATATTTTGCCACAAGTCATAAGTGCTACGTTCATAAAAACCTTTTTAAACTTCATGTAGGTATCACAGAATCATTGAATGGTTGGTGCTGGAAGGGACCAGGGACCTTAAAGATCATCTAGTGCCAACTCCCCTTTCACTAGACCAGGTTGCTCAGAGCCCCACCCAACCTGGTCTGGAACCCTTCCTGGTCTGGGGCATCCACAGCTTATCTGGGCAACCTGTTCCAGTGCCTCCCACCATCACACTAAAGAATATCTTCCTTATACCTAATCTAAACCTACTCTTTTAGTTTAAAGTTGCTCTTCCTTGTCCTGTCACTTTTTACAAAGTCCCTCTCCATCTTTCTTGTAGGCTCCCTTCAGTTACTGGAAGTTCACAGTTAGGTCTTCTCTCTTCCCGGCTGAGCCATCCCAATTTTTTCAGCCTTTCCTCATAGGAAAGGTGTTCCATCCCTCTAATCAACTTGGTGGGCCTCCTGAGGACTCACTCCAACAGGTCAGTGTCCTTCCTGTGCTGAGGAGCCTCAGCAGAGTAGAGGAGCAGAATCACCTCCCTCGATCTGCTGGCTATGCTGCTTTTGATGCAGCCAAGGACAGGTTTGGCTTTGTGGGCTGCAATTGCACATTGTTGGCTCATGTCCAGGTTCTCATCCACCAGCACCACCGAGTCTTTCTTGTCAGTGCTGCTCTCGATGTGTTCATCCCCCAGCCCGAATTGACACCAAAGGCTGCCACAACCCAGGTGCAGCACCTTGCACTTGGTGTTGTTAAACCTCATGAGATACCCATGGGTCTCTTTCTTGAACTCGTCCAAGAGCACTTACAACTCTGAAATTATGAAGTTGAGTTCTACAGTCACAAACCCCATGATAGCAAGCTTGCTTTATGTAAGTTTTCCAGTTTGTACCAAATAACATGGAACCTTGGCACTTCTGACACTGATAAGGATTCTGTGCATCGAGAGCAATGGACAAACAGCCATTAGGGAACACTACTTATTATTACAATTTTAAAAAGCACAAGGTATTTGAAAAATGAACAAATTGTCATGGGTTTACAGAACAAAGTGTAGTCCTAAATTGATGAATGAGGATTTGACCACTGTAACTACAATAGCTGTCGTAGATTAGGCTCGCCTCTTCGAATCAAATTACAAAGCTCTTGAGTGCTGCTAGTGAATATCTGGAGCTTTGATGAAGCATATGTGTCTCCTAAATTTATCTATGGAAAAAGAAGAACATCTTGCTTTGTTAGCACTGTCATGTAGTATGAAATCTGTCTCTTAGAACAAAAATAAAAGCTAATAATGAGCTGCTATATATTAAAATGGGAACTGTTTCTTTTGAAGTGCCTGCCTAGATCCATGCTAGCCGTTTGAGGCCTTTGTAGCAATCCATAACAGAGCCAAAAAGCACACTACCAAACTTGCAGGGTAGTATTGAGGAAGAGAATAATGGCAAATAAAAGATTCCCTGAAACATGTGGTCACACATTCTCATTTCCAGGGAACCTCAAACTGTGAAAAGTATGTTTTAAAACCTCTGATGATGAAGGGCATCTGATAGTGTGTACTTATACTCAGGGAAATTGCCCCATTTTCTGCTTCTGTTCTAAATAGTTAGGTCCCCACTTCAATCTGGAATAAGCCTTGCTGCTGATGCTTTCTGCTCGTGTCTGTACACATATCCTCCTTCCCATCTTCAAGAGTTAGCATTTGTTTTCTATGCTGTGTTGTGCTGCCTCCACCCAGGTTCTCACTAGTGACTCCTGCATCTACAACATGGACCCCAGGCCAGACAGCATGGCCCAGTGTGATGGCTCTCACCCACAGTGTGAGGAGCAATGCTTTGGGTTAAACTTACTTGTCAATCATCATCTCTTTCTCAATGGCTATGTTTTCTATGGCACTGTTCATCTGTCTCTGGTTTCTCCATGTGGATCCCATGAAAAACTCCTTGCAGTGCTCAATTCTGGCACTGGCAGTACCATAAAAAGTTCATTTCACATTCTTTAGAGAGAAGGATTGGTTCTATTTATACACCCTACTAAGGACTCCTTTTTGCAGTAGATTGATAATAACTCTGACTCATTGCTGGCTTGTGGGTTGTCACAGCCGCTAGATCTTTTCCTGCAGTTTCTCATGCCATTTTATCATTCTCTGACTTGCAGATAGTGTTATCAGAGAAATTTGCATTTTCAGAATTGTATCCTGCTTTTTCACAGATTTGCAAAGTTCTAAATTCCAAACCAATCTTTCCCAGTGTAGCATTTTTAATAAGCATATTCTGTTCTGTAATCCAGTCCATTAATAGAGATACTGAATAATTTTAGATATGAGACAAAGTCTTTTGGTGAGTACTTCAGAAATTCAGGGATGTGATTTGTAAGATGTGCCTCTTTTTCCCTTGTATTTTCATAGTTGATGGGATTGTGAGCATCTCTCTCATCAGATATGCAGGCTTTGTTATCAAAGACCAGTATAATTATGCTACATTTATAGGGCTATATAGAGCTAAGTCTCTGGGACTACAATTAAGACTGTAGTTACAATGATTTTTAAAAGTCCTTGACTACAGCATCATTACCTGACAGGTTTTGGGTTCATTGCAACCTCTTCTAAAATTTTCCCATGCACACCTATTTAGTGCAGAAACAAATAAATAAAAATGCCCTATTCCTGAACAAGGCATAGTTCCAAAACTGGTTTTACTGCAGAGAGCCTGACAGCATGGAGTCAGCTGTTATTGCTGAGGTAATGGAAGTGCAAGGAGAGTCTGCTGTGGACTCTCTCCCATGCAGGAGCAAAGGACCTCTTCTCCTAGTCTCTTGTAGTGGTTATTGGAACTGTAGACCTCAAAATTCTAAGCAAGTCTTCATTTTTTATTGGAAAATTAAAAGTACTAGAAAATAAAGTTTATCTGTGGAAAAAGTGGAAGCACCTGAGATTGAGGTTCAAATTTTAGCTTTAGAATGAGAGCAAAAGGTTTTTGAGCTTTCTCTTGAGTTACCTGTATCTCAGGTGCGCAACCCCACTGTCTGTCTGTGTGTCCTGTGTATGGTTGGTATCTGGTTGCTTACAGACTAAGTCCAAAGGGCTCATATGGAAGATTATGAGAAGGTTGTACTTAATCTTTGGTACGTTATGCATGCCAAAAACTGCATCTTGTTGAGCCTATCTTGCTTGATAGGTATACTATCATAAGCATTCATGACATCAGCCCTTCTTGTGACATCCATGATGTTGTTGGGAGAACTGCTGGGTCTAGGAGCACGACAGAGAAAATAAAGCAGCCGTAATCTGACCAGCTAGCCAATGTCCTAGCAATTCAGTTTCACTTGGTTTAGATAACATGGGATCTGCACAGTTAAAAATCCTGCATTGTGATAATTACTTCAGAGAATCATAGAATATTTTGAATCAGAAGGGACTCACAAGGATCATCAAGTCCAACTGCTCGCCCTGCACAGGACCACCCCAAGAGTCACATCACATGTCTGAAAGCATTGTCCAAACGCTTCTTGAACTCTGTCAGGCTTGGTGCTGTGACCGCTTCCCTGGGGAGGCTGTTCCAGTGCCAAACCACTTCACCCTCTGGGTGAAGAACCTTTTCCTAGTATCTACCAAAATTCCCCTGACACAACTTCAGGTCATTCCCTCTGGCCCTGTCACTGGTCACCACAGAGAAGAGATCAGTGGCTACCCCTCCTCTTCCCCTCACAAGGAAGTTGTAACTGCAATGAGATCTCCCCTCAGTCTCCTCTCCTCCAGGCTCAACAGACCAAGTGACCTCAGCCACATCTCATCTGGCTTCCCCTCAAGGCCCTTCACCATCTTCATTGCCCTCCTTTGGACACTCTCTAAGAGCTCAATATCGTTCCTATATTCTGATGCCTAAAACTGCACACCAGGTGAGGCTGCACCAGTGCAGAGCAGAGTAGGACCATCCCCTCCCTTGACCAGCTGGCCACACTTTGCCTGATGCCCCCCAAGTCCATAGGACACTTACCCGACTTGTGTACCAAAAGTCCAACAGTGTTTCAATATTGGTTCCCTCAAAGCTTATGATGCAGGGAAGTTGTGGTAGAGATTTGGCCAATAGGTTACCATCTACCATAGGTAGCTAAATTTTCAGTGATTTCTGGCAAATCATGGCCTTGGCTTCAGTAGTTTGTTTTCAGATTTTGAACGTGAGTTGACATTTTGAACATGAGTTCACCGTTTATGCTCCTATAAATTTGTGATGCCAGTATCTAGAAGTGCAACCATGTGAGAATCTGATCAGAACTGATCTATTTTACTCAGATGTAAAGTTTTACATCAGTGAGTCACTGTGGTTTTAATGCTATGAGACAGCAAATAAAGTGGGAACACGAGTTTAGTTCAAAGTAGTATCTGCACTCCAGTTGACAGTGTCAATCTTGCTTTCTCAATTACATTCTGGAAGAAATGCTGCTTTGTGGCTACTGAGACAGTCAACACGCTTTCAATGCATGCTTTGTTTTTTTCTTTAAACAAAGAACCATTTATTTATTTGCTGATAAATATTTATCTACTGATCGCTCTAACAACATCTATTAACCTGCTAAGAAAAAAACCCTGATGTTCTTTTATGGGAGCCATATAGATAACTCTTGGTAGAAGTTTGTTGGGTACTTCAGGATACACTTGCTAAGCAATAAGCAAGAATTTGACAAAATTTAT